CGGTTGAGAAGTATGTTGGCCCGGCTAGTTCAACGGCCTTTTGGGGGTCATCATCTCTGAGCTTGGCACGTTCCTTACCCCCTCTGAAGACGGTTACCATGAACTTCTCTTTGTTCTCATCTTTGGACTTGGAGTCGTGGCTCCTAAGCACTCTAGGCACCTCAGAATTGGTAGTGGCCTTCTCAGGGACCGTGGTCTCTTGCACATCGGGGTCTTTTGCAGGAGAAGGGTCTTCAAATATTTTTGGCTCTGTACCGTCCCATTCCAATCCTGGTACTTCTTCTATTTCTGACCCGACTGATGCCGCAAATTGCACCTCTAGTTCTGCCACTGTAATCTCTATGGGCACTTCTGGCACTGGAGTCTCCAGGGCTGCCTCCGGCACTGCAATCTCCGGTGGCACTTCCGGCACTGGATTTTCCTTTTGCATCTCGGGTTCCTCCGCCTTATCAGTCACCTTCCTCTTAGGAGGTCTCGGAGGTTTTCCCAACCCCGGTTTTGGCACCACAGGTTTTTGCTTGGCGTCAGTGCCCAATCCAAAGGATATGTCATTCTTGTGCCAGAGAATTACAAGATCGACCGCATCCCCAAGTACGGATACACCATCTACAGTCGGGAAGTCAATGTCGTAGGACTCAAACCCTTCGTGGACCACTTGCGGCTGCACCTGGGCATACGCATTGGGTATGAACTCTTCGTTGTATGTTCTCCCAGGGATAGCAATGGCTGTAGCGGCCTCAAGAGTTTTCCCGGAGCGTCCAATGGGAACGTGCAATCTGCAGGGTGTATTCTCCTTGAGGTCATCGAAGGGGTAATCTGGCTCAGGTTCTTTGGTTTCGAGGGGAGGCAAAATCATGTGCTTGACGCAGAAATCCATCATTTGCCTCTCAAACTCCGCAACCCCTTCGTCTCTAAGTTTATCCTTGTACGCTTCAAGCTTCTTGTGGGGGTCATGTTTGAACCCTTCCTTCCAACTCATCTTGCTCGACACACCTCAAACCCTTCCCCCATGCTCAGGAGTACCCAGCGCCGTACTTAGCACATCTTTCTCCCTATTAGGCTTGAAAAATCCTTTCTTCTGTGAACTGGATAAATTCTCTATTTTATCGGCAACGCTCTGCAGCTCCGGATCTTTAAACGATACTTTTCATTCATCCGTGATCTTAGGAGTTCTAGCTCTTACCCAGTTCCTTGATCTGTATGTCCATTCCTCCATTGGTACTGGTTGACCCTTCTTCCTCATTTCCTCCTCCTCTTTTGTCCATTGCTCCACCTTTGGTGTGTATCCCGCGGAGCCTAAGCGATGAGGAAATTTGTTCTTCTGGGCCAACTCTGCATACTTTTGGCTCCTTTGAATGTCCTCCGGGGAGTTCTTCAACGTCAGAAAGTCGTCCCACTGATTTGGGGTTATGTTGGCATATGTCGAAAACGGTGTGCGTCCCTTCTTCACAAATTTCGTGTGCAAGGTGGTTTTCCAACCACGCCAAGACTTGGCCATTGTTTGCAGTGCGCAATTCCTCACAGCTGCCTCCGATCCATCCGGGAACTGGAAGATTTTCATCAACTCTTTCCATAGGACTTCCTTATCCCCATTCGATACATGATCCTAGTCCTTGACCGTGATGGGGATCTTTTCCCTTACTATTGTGCCACACTGTGAACTGAATTTCGCACGTGCCATCTTAGGGGCGAGCGGCTCTCCTTTTGGCGAAACATGGGTAACAACATGGAACCTTTCATCCTTTCTATTCATGCTTCTCTCGCCCTTCCTTTTCTTCGCCTTAGCTGACCGTTCGCTTTTCTTTGAGCCGGTTGTGTTAGCTGGTACCTCGTCAATTTGCGACGGAACTTTTTTCTTCGGCTGCCGTTTTGATCGCCGTGGCACCGTTTCCTATGAGAAGGTATTAATGAAAGTTTCGAATTAGCACGGGCCAATAGTTATCACGGTGAACAGTTTACATATTAAGTTTCCTTACCCCTTCTTTAGGGGGAATGTAGTCTTTGTCGCCTTCTTCACTGTCGCCCTTTTTCCTTCTCTTCGGGCTTGGGCTTGGACAAGGATCGCTTGGCGACGAGTATTCATTGTCTTCCTGAGCTACGTCGCTGCTGGAACTATCTTCTAGTGGGACCATTGGTTACGGAGCAACCACAACAGCAAGGGACTGCTCTTGCTCCCCTAAACCCTTCTCTTCAGTCCATTTAGTACTATCGGCCATTGTTTCAAACCTCTAACATAAAAGAAAAAGTTATCCTCCACATTTAATTAGTACAAACAAAATTAAATTGCGAAATGTAATTAATTATACTTACTATTATGCTAAATTAATTAGTACAAACAAATTTAAATTGCGAAATGTTATTAATTAGTAGTAAATTAATTACTACAAACAAAATTAAATTGCGAAATGTATTTAATTATACTTACTATTATGCTAAATTAATTAGTACAAACAAATTTAAATTGCGAAATGTTATTAATTAGTACTTACTATTGTGCTAAATTAATTAGTACAAACAAAATTAAATTGCGAAAGGTATTTAATTATACTTACTATTATGCTAAATTAATTAGTACAAACAAATTTAAATTGCGAAATGTTATTAATTAGTACTTACTATTATGCTAAATTAATTAGTACAAACAAATTTAAATTGCGAAATTAATTACTACTTACTATTATGCTAAATTAATTAGTACAAACAAAATTAAATTGCGAAATGTTATATATTAGTACTTACTATTATGCTAAATTAATAATGCTAAATTAGTACTTCTAAATTTAAACATATCCTCCACAATTTTTTTAAAAAAAATGTTAACATACCCTCCTTACATGTTATTTAAAAAATTTGACAAATTCACATATCTTGCAAAATTGAACATACCCTCCCAATTTCATTCACATATCACCCACATTCCCAAATTCATATTCACAATCACATATAACCCCTCATTCACATATCACCCACCCCTCATTCCTATTCACACCCACATGCACACACATATATATAACCTCACACCCACAAGCACACACATATAAAAAGGAACACCCACATGCACACACGTCCGTGTAGGACGAACGGCCGACGACAAGCTTCGGTCGTGGACGACGAAAGAAGGGCCGACGACAAGGTTCGGCCGTGGACGACGAACCGGCCGACGAAGCCGTTCGGCCGAGTACGTCTTCACCCGTGGACGACGAAAGGCCGTTGACGAAGCCGCTTGTGGATGACTGCGAGAGAGAGAGAGATGGCGGCGGCGGCTGTGGAGCGGCCGGTGGCGGTGGAGAGGTAGGCAGCGTGGTGGAGGAGCCGGGGGGGGAAGCGGCCGGTGGCGGCGGAGCGCTAGCACGCGAGCTTGCGCGCGCACAGTGGACAGCGGCGGCGGCGGCGGAGCGGTGGAGCGGCGGTCGAGCGGTGCAGCTGTGGCAGAAGCGCAGTCGGTGGAACTCGCCGGTGGAGCGGCCGGCAGCGGCGGGAGCGGCCGGGCGGTGGTGGAGCTGGATCGACGGCCGGCGGCGCGGTGGAGCGCGAGGCCGGCGCGAGCTCAAAGGCTGGCGGCGCGCGGAGGACGATGATCGGCAGCGGCGGAGGACGACGGTCGGAGGGTGAAGGTCACAGGCGGGCGGCGGCAGAGGACGGCGGAGGCGTGCGGCGGCAAAAAATTTTGGCAACCTGATGGCGCCAAAATTTCTAGGGTTCCCGCCTGGACTTAGAAATTTTGGCGCCGCGGGCTTACCCTTATATAGGGTAACGATCTTCGTAGGCGGGCGGTCAGCCTGCGAAGATAGTAAACCCTACTCGGCATAATAATCTTCGCAGGCGGACCGCCTGCCTGCGAAGATTTTTGCAGGACTAACTCTTTCTATTTCAGAATTATTTTGAAATCATTTTTGTGATTTGAAAATGTCGACTTTTCATACATAAATATTACTTAAATGTTTCAAACATTAATATTACTTATATGTGCACTTACCATTGTTCTAAAACTTTTTAAAATAAGTTTTCAAACAATGGTAAGTGAACATAACAATACGCTACTAAATTTTTAAACCTCTTTTAGAAAAACTTTTAAAAAATAAGAAACTGTAAATGTTACCCTACAAATGGTAATTGCACATAAAATTAGTACAAACTAATATGCAAAATGTTGCGTGCAATTATTCGTCAATTTGTGATATGATCACACATCACCTTACATACCACCATTACATAACTACTAACTTCTTAGATGCTTACATGCGACTCAACAATCATTACCCTTTAACATTTTTTCCCACACCGCCCGTGCGCATGTAAGGCTTCACGATCTTCTGAGTAGATGTCTCGACATTCTTAATCTTCTATACAAACTGACTATAAAGTGGCATACTATCGAATTGATTGTAATCTTCGACATCTTCAACCCCATCCACTCCCAATATCTTTTGTTTCCCGGATAGCACTATATCTTTCTTCAAATTTGATGGGTCTTTCACGTAAAACACTTGTGCCACACGATTGGCGAGTACCCAAGGGTCATCCTTGTGACCCACACTCGCCAGGTCAACAACAGTAAGACCGAACTTATCAACATTGACCCCGTTCGGGTATTTTACCCACTAGCACTTAAATATGGGGAATTGCATTGTGTGGCCATAGTCGATTTCCCATATTTCTTCAATAAACCTGAAGTATGATTGTTTTTCCCCGGTTTCATCAATTGCCTCCACACGGACACCGCTGTTTTGCGTACAGGTCTTATTATCACGGGCTCTTGTACTAAACGAGTATCCATTAATGTCATATCCCTGCCAAGAATTTACTGTAGTTGATGGACCACAAGCCAACCGCTTCATAGTTATTTCATCGGTAGTTTGTCCCTCAGGTAAGTCTAGGTCTCGCAACCAATCTATCAAGAGACACTTGTGTTCTTTCATTATCCACTCGATGATGTGACCCTTATTGTTAGCTCGTATTAGTTCGATATGTTGATCGATGTACGGCTCAACGATAGCAAACTATTGAAGCACGCTGAAGTGAGCTTCTTGGAATGATTTGTGATCATGGGTGATGAATCTCTTCTTTCCTATCATTCCCCTGCCACTCAATCTGCCCTCGTGTCGGGCCACAGGTACTCTAATTGCATATCCATCTTTGAGGTAATCGATACAGCACTCGACAACCTCTTCAGTACTATAACCCTCAACCATTGATCCCTCTGGATGTGCACGATTTCGGACGTAACTCTTCAAAACCGCCATGTAATGCTCGTATGAGCACATTTGATGGAGGTACAATAGGCCAAGCGCAACCATCTGCGGCACTATGTGAACAATGAGGTGCTCCATCATATCAAAAAATGACGGAGGGAAACACATCTCAAGTTGGCACTGTGTCTCATGTGCGAATGTACGGAGATTTTCTAACTCTTCGAGACTAATGACCTTCTATGACACTGCGTTGAAAAAGTAGCACAACCTTGTGATAGCAAACTTTAAATGCTCCGGTTTGATGGCTCTTATTGCAATTGCAAGAAACACGGTGAGCAAGACATGACAGTCGTGTGAATTATAACAAGATACCGACAAATCTTTCATTGAAACTAGTCGACTGATGTTTGATGAGAAACCTATGGGCACTCTGAGATCACGGAGTGAGTTGCAAAATGACTTCTTCTCCTCAGGTGTTAGTGTGAAACAGGCTGGTGGAAGATATATTTTGCCATTCTTTTCTCCTTCTTGAGGGTGTAACTCTTCCCTGATTCCCATCTCGAGTAGGTCCATCCTTGATTGCAGACCATCTTTAGTCTTCTTCAGCATGTCCAACAATGTTCCAACTATGTTGTCAAACACATTCTTCTCTTGATGCATGACGTCTATGGCATACCGAACCTCCAGATCTTTCCAGTACGGGAGGTACTTAAAAAATATGGGATGCTTCTTGAATGGAGGAGGGAGTTTATCATCTGGCTTCGAACTATCATCTTGCTTCTTACTATCCCCTTGTTTCGTATTCTTCTTGGGTTTCTTGCGCTTTGTCCCCTTTGATGGTTTCTTAGTCACTTTTCCAAACTCGCAAACAATTTTCTCTGTCATTGCACACACCTTTTCTCCCGAGGTTGGTTTGGGTGCAGGATCAGTCTCTTCAGTGCCATCGAACTCCGCCTTCATCTTGCGGTACTTGTGATTTGTGCGTAGGAACTGCCGGTGCCGCATGTACACAAGCTTGTTGGAACCTGGGAGATACCTATAGTACGTTCCATTCAAGTAGATCACACATCTTGTTTTACCTTTAATTTGACCTGAAACTGAAAACATTGCTGGATAATTGTTAATGGTCACGAAGATGATGGCCTTCACTGTGAAGTATTCCCTTAAGTACTCGTCCCACACTTTCAATCCCTCTTTCCATAAATCAGCCATATCTTCCAACAATGGTTCAAGAAATACGTCAATATCAATACCAGGCTAACGGGGTCCCTGTATGAGGATACAGAGTAGTACGTATTTTCGCTTTTGACAAAACCAGGTAGGAAAATTATACATGGTGAGAAGCACTGGCCAAGTACTATGTGAGCTGCTCATGTCTCCAAAAGGATTAACTCCATCAGTACTCAGGGCAAATCTAATGTTCCGTGGGTCTTTAGCAAACTTTCTGTACTGAGCATCAAAGTTTATCCATTGACGAGCATCTGTCGGGTGTCGAATCATCCCATCCTTCTTGCGCCCTTCTTCATGCCAGCGCATTAGTTCCGCATCTCGTGGGTTTGAGTATATCCGTTTAATGCGGTCTTTGACAGGAAGGTACCACATCACAAGCTGCGGGATTTTTCTCTGCCATCCCTCAGTTGTGTCAGACGGTTCTAGGCCAGTATTGCTATTCGATTTGTACCGGCTAGCACCACATGTTGGACATTCATCTAAAGAAGCATACTCTTTCCTGTACAGTACGCAGTGATTTACGCACGCATGAATATTTTCCACACCAAGTGAAAGGGGGTATATGAGTTTCTTTGCTTGATATGTGCTGAATGGTAGTGAGTTAGGCCTTGGGAGCATTTTCTGCAGAAGTTCTAACAAACTATCGAAACTGGTATTAGACCATCCATGTCTCGCCTTTAACCTCATAAGTTCAAGAACTGACCGTAGTGTTGTAAACTCACTGTCACAGTCCTTCGACTCATCGTACAAAACTTCCTTTCCTGCCTTCTGTAAAGCTTCAAAGTTATTTAACCCTCTAGCCGACCCCATCAGCACCTCGGGTTCTGCATGACGTAACATTTCCTCTAGGTCGTTTTTGTCCTCAACAGAACCATCGTCATGCACCATGTCTTCAACTTGTGTCGGAACTACATTTTTAGGCCCGTCCACTTGTTCTTCGCCATGACGTGTCCATATTTCGTACTCGTCCATAAATCCACGAGTTACTAAGTGCTCCTTCACTTTAAAAGCATCGTCGTAGTCCCAGGCTATTTCATTCTTACAGTCAGCATATGGACAAATTATCTTCTTCATATTGTTCTTCTCAGCGTGTACCTTGGCAATACTAATAAATTTAGACACTTCGTTTCTATATGGAGACAAAAACCTCGGCCAATGATATATCCATTCCCGACATTCCATATCTCTAAAAAAATACACATAAAATATTTGCACAATTAATACCAAATTTGTAGGGTTTATTGATAAGTTAATACCAAATTTGTAGGGTTTATTGAAAAAACTTATCGCTATTCAAAACTAATTAACTAAAGGTTAAGTGTAAATTAATTAAAAATTAAAGTTTATTTCAATTTTTTTACACAGACATGCCAAATTAGTACATTAGGAAAATCTAACAAAATCATATCATTGGCATATTACAAAATACTATAACTATTTTTTGATTGTACCAAATAAATAGACATTAAAAATTTTATTCTCTCTCTATATATGACAAGATATAGATCTAGATCTAGAACTAGGAGATGGATGTGATAGCAAAAATAAAAAAAGAATGAGAATTTATGTTACCACGTTAAACCACTATAACAAGAGGCATCAAGTATTACACATACATCTAACATCAACATATCAAAAGAAATAAAATTTAAAAACATGGAGCTCTTCCTTCACAATTTTGCATGCATAAATCTATCACAAATTAAGGTCTAAAAGCTTAAAAAATTACATACCTAGTGTGGAAATGAGTAGATCTAAGCACCGTAGAAAAATCCACCGTAGAAAAATTCAAATTTGAATTCAAATATTTTCTATATATAGTATTTCTATACATCTAAAAGTTTATACACTAAAGTTGATAGACCCAAAGTTTATAAATCAAAAGTTTACATACCCGATTCAAATTTAAATTTGAATTCAAATTTTTTATATATAGTATTTCTATACATAAATTTTTCTAACTTTTGTTTTTTTTTAAAAATTTATGTGGTGTACTGTAATAGGAAAAAAAGAAGGGGAGGAGGAAGGAGGGAGAATAGGGAGGAGTATAGGGGGAGGGGGGCGAACTGATCGCCCAACGTGATCTCTGGCGATCGATCGCCCATTAGAAGGGCCCACCCCCACCCTCCCTCACGCCACGTTTTTCTCTTTTTTTTCCCATCCGTCCGTACACCCTCTGCGTTTTTTTTCTTTTCTTTTTCCAACTTTTTTTCCCCAACCGTCCGTACACCCTCCGCTCCTTTTTTTTTTGTTTTTTTCTTTTCTTTTTCCAACCGTATGTACTCCCTCCGCTCTCCTTTTTTCTTTTTTTTCCTTATGAACATATGCTATTTTCCTTCCCTCACGGAACCATTAGTAAAAAAAATTACTAACATATTACTTTACCCAACCAACCTTTATTTAGTAAATAAATTATTGGCTTTTAGCCACGTTGGATCCTCTGTCAGTACATCAGTTACTCGCGAATATATCATTAGATTAATTCCTTACTATTAGTAGATTAGTTCCTTACTATTAGTAATGATATTAGTAGATTAGTTCCTTATTATTATTAATGATTTTACTATGTAGTTAAATAAACCCTCCTACTGTCACCGTTAATAATATCTTTACTTTTTAGTTATTTTCAGTAGCTCGGTGCCTTATCTGTGGTAGTAGTATTTTTACTGCCAAGTGTTTTTGTATTTTTAATGCTATGTACCGATCTATTAGTATTTTTTTACAAACATTTATTAGCGCATAGTAAATGTTTTACTTGATGGCAATATACGAGAAGAGTATTTTTTTTCAAATTATATATCCTACACAGCATGAATACAATATTAGGCTGGTTCGAGACCAATAAAAATTACAGATGGGAAATAGACATACACATATTCATCTTGATAAAAAAAACAAGAAAATTGCAACCAATGACTACTCCCTCCGTCGCCATATGTTGCACCCTAGGATCAGATTAGATCAATCCTAAAACTACGAATATAGAGGAGGTTGCGACATATTGAGATGAAGGGGGTACATCCCAACTCGCGTAATACCACCACCAGCGCCGGTGCCGAAGACTCACGGTCGACGTCAAAATCCCACTGCCAGCTACATCCATGGCGGAGTTGGTCGCATTGGCCTGCTCCACCGAGGATCCAACCTTCTCCACCCTGGAACCCGCCAACATATGAGAGAACCTGATGATGATAATTCAGATGGTAGCAGATTTCTAAGAATACTGCACACACAAATCTGCAAATGACATATTTCTAATTGACATTTAGAACATGATTTGTCTATGAACCCTATAATTTTCATAACATTTCAGATCTTTTGACACAACTGTAAGTATCAAAATGTCCAGCCGACCAAACTAAAAATTTATGAGAAGGGCATGCACTTGCAAACTGAGAGAACATGACACTCAGAGCTATGAATATAATTTCTCCGAACGAAAATCCTCTCCATGTTTCATTCAGCAATAACCACTACAAATCAACATGTGAGTTGAGAGCAGCCACTGGACAGATTAAAAAATTATCACTTCTGCGCATCTCTGTGTGAACCAAAAAAATTCAGAGAACTATTAGCCTATCAAGTAGTACTCTTCCTAGCTAGGAAATTTCAGAAGCTAATAGCCTAATAAAATATCAAGTAGAAAAATCTAAGAATCTACTAGCACATCAAATAGAAAATTTCAGAAACTATTGGCTTATCAATTAAATGTTGTCCGAAGACTGATGAGCCCATAGCCCAAAAGCCAAGCACTAGTCATATTCCCCATACCAGTCATGCCAGAATCAAATCTGTAAACTAGGAAACGCTGAAATTGTTTGTACTGCTAGAACAAGTATGCCAGCTGGAGGTTTCATGAAGCAACTCTTTGGTGCTGTTCTTTGGAACTAGAGCAAAAGGCATGCTTCAAATTAGTGCTTTATTAGTAGCTATTGTGTTGGTGGGGACTAAACCAACATATTTTTATGGTGGAGATCAATGCATAGCCATCTGGTAAAATATGAGCATCTTAAAATTGACAGATAATCTTAAAATATAGTTCACCATCAATATGAGTTGTTGAGAGGATTGATTTCATCCTAAACTACAGTTCACCTTTAATATGAGTTGTTGAGAGGATTGATTTCATCCTAAAATACAGTTCACCTTCAATATGAGTTGTTGAGAGGATTGATGTCATCATTAATCTGAGCAGCATCTTTGAAATTAACAGGAGCTGGACTGCTAGGCTACTACTTACTGAGTTACTGTGAACTACCGTCATTTGCAAAACCACTGGTATTAGCATTTAATTTGATGAAGAGAGGAGCTCTGCTAATTACCTTAAATGCTATATGAGACTTGCTGATGTTCTTGATCTTGACAGCACTCCGGACTTGCTTCCCAGGCTCATCTGTACCAATCAGTAGAAGGCAAAGCCAGAGACAAGCAAGGAGTATGTACTGTATCCATCAACTGCGTTGATTCGATCTATTCCGTTTGCGAGCAACATACTAATCATAGGCAATTCTTGTTTCCAGTTTTGCAGGTTTTTGAGAAAGCCAATTTTCTTCGTGGAGATAGAAGAACAAGTGCACAAAGCGGAGACCATTCTTAACCAGGAATCAGTATGCGAAGAGCAACAAGGACAGCGCCTTGGACTATTATGAGCCAAACAAATCAATCAAGAACAATTGCAATCGCGCAGCAAAGCGAACTCCAATTAATCCAACCAAAACTGAAAAGGATTTCAAAGGAGGAGTAATCTCTAGACAGAGCAACCGCCATGAGAGGAGAAAAACCAGAGCAAGAAGAGAGGAAAGCAGCAGCAGCAACAGCAGGCGGGGGAGCAGGGACCGGATCACCGCAGGCGCCGCCGCCGGACGACGTGCCAGCCCCATCCCCTCCTGTTCCTCATCCACCGGCGCGGGGAGGCAGAGAAGATGGCCCCGCCACCGCCATCCCGACTCGCCGCCTGGCTCTCACGGCGAGAAGATGAAGGCCGTTGGGGAGGACGACCACCAGCGCTGGAAGAAGCTGAGGTGGCTCTCCTCGACGCCCGCACCGGTGAAGTCCGCTGCTGCCGGTCCCGACCACGATCTGTGGCCATGGAACCTCCCAGGTGTTGATCCGCGGCGACGGCGTAGGGGGACGGTGGATCTATTGTGGAAGAAGCAGCAGATGAGGATGACCGGCGTGGGAGGCGGCGCCATGGCTGGAGCCGTGTGCTCCTGGTCCACCTACCGCCGACCCTGACGAAAATGGTGGGGATGAGGTCGGCCGACGGCGCAAAGGACGACGGCCATCAGCGAGCGCCGCGCACGGAGGACGGCCCGGGCGTCTCACCTCGCAGCCTGGATGCATCGCCCGCCTCCCGGATGTGTAGTCGACGTTGGGGGAGGAATGACGGCAACGACCCCACCGTCATCCTCACGACAAATCCAGCGGGCGCCACCGCCGCCGACGAGAATCGATTCAGGACGCTACTCTCCTCCCCCCGCCGCCGGTGGATCCGTGCGGGGCCAGGCGAGGGACGCTCGCCGCCGGTGGATCCGTGAGGGGCCAGGCGAGGGACGCCCGCCGCCAATGGATCCGGGCGGAGGACGACCGTCATCGCCGGATTCGAGCGGGGGACAGCCCCGCCGAGACCGTCGCCGCATCCATCCCCGAGCACGAGCCACAGCCGCCGCCGCCCGCCGCCCGCCGCTCTCCTCCCGCCGTCGCTGCCACCCACAAACCGCCGCCGTACCCCCGAGGTTCGCCGATCCGAAAAAAGAGGGATTAGAGATAATGATACAGTTGCTACAGGCTATATATATAAAATATGTGTTGCAGTAAATAGGGGTGGGTTTAGTTAGTACGTACAGGAGGGCATGTTTGGCACAGCTCTAGCTCCCAACTCCAACTTACTTAGAGCTGGAGCTGTGTGAAACTGCCACGGACCTATACCCCCAACCCACCTCCTCACCTCCCTCCCGTAAACCTCCCATCGAGCCAGGTGGTGGCGGCGGGCGAACAGGCGCTCCGGCGGCGGCTCGACGGCGCGCGCAGGCAGCAAACCGGCGGCTGCGCGGCGGGGAAGCAGGGCCCGACGGCGGCTCGGTGGCGCGTGCAGGAAGTAGGCTGGCGACTGCTCGCGGCGGGGCAGCAGGGCCCGACGGCGGCTCGGCGGCGCGCGACCGGGCAGCAGGATGATGGCGGCTCTGCGGCGCGCGGCTGGGCAGCAGACTGCGGTGCTCCGGCGGCGCGTGCGGGCAGCATACCGGCGGCTACGCGGCAGCGTGCGGCGGGGCAGCATGGCCCGACAGCAGCTCGGCGGCGCGTGGCTGAGCAACTGGCTCCGGCGCTCCGACGGCGGCTTGGCGGCGCGCACGGGCAGCAGGCCGGCGGCGGGGTGGCTAGACGGCGCACGGCAGGCGTCGAGGAGCCAATCCCCTCGATTCTTTTTACTTTTTTTTTCAACTAGGAAGGTAGCCCGCGCATACGCGCGGGCATGCACCGTACGTAGGATAAATTTGAGAAATTTATAAAGGCGGTATACCAGCGAATTAATATCTGCAATGTTTTAAAATTATGTTTTTTTCCCATGAATTTTCTTCGTTAGAATTGCATGACGAATTTAATTGTTATTTATAAAATTATCTATTGGAGATTAGGATTGGTATCTTACGGTATAAAAAATGGTACCTAAGACATATGACTCTTGAGGTTCCACAGGGAAAGAGAGAAAACTTAAGTTATAAAAGACATTACATATACAACCATATATAATTAATGGCTCTACCCATTTTTTAGAAAAAAATGATAATTAATTTATTATTTGACGGCAAACATTGATTGGTCATAGCTATGGATAATTCCTCATAGGAAATTGTGATTCCATAGTGAAAGAGAAAAAACTTAAGTTATAAAAGACATTACATACACAAACCATATATAATTAATGGCTCTACTGATTTATATAGAAAAATTGGTAATTAATTTATTAAACATAATATATGACCCTCGAGTTTAGACCATTATTTGTAACCATTGGATATGTAGAAGATCTAACATATTGTGTGGAGTCCAACTAAGCAAATTATTCGTCTTCCCTCACCATGGATGGTAGACATGTTAATTCGTGTCTCCGGCAGCATGCTCACATCATCATACTTAGAAGAAAAAAAAGTGCCCTTCATGTATATACATGTAACTACCTCATGCCCCTCTTTTCATTAAAGAAAAAAAGTTCTATACCCATGCATGCACACCGGGATGCACCGGTTAGCCCTCCAATTTGTTCACTCCATGGACGGTATGTTCCTTTGTTCTAGTGATTAGATAATTTAATAAGTACAAATAAGTATTTGAAATCAATTTTTATTAGTAAAATATCCATAAGGACTGATCTGTAGACACCCTCTGTTCTTCTTCTTTTCTTGGTGTATTAGTTGGATTTAAGCAACGTGATATAGGTATTTTGGGATATAAGTTAATGTCCAACTTCCAAAGGATTAAGGTTTCCCAACCCTCAGCACCGAACACAGCATAAGATCGTACATTTATCCTTAAAAGAAGATCATATATTTTATCAGGACATTGGAATTAAGTAAATAGCATCCACATATATGTCGAGAGATATAATTAAGTTGGTTGTGAGTCAATAGGTCCATTGATGCTATAATTAAGGTTAAGGTTAGCGGTTTATAAGTTATTTTGATTTTATTAAAAAACTAAGTTGGATATTTTGATTTGTAATGAGAACTTTTAGAATTTTTTGCGTATGGATGTGGGTCCAAAATATAATAATTTTATTAGCAATTAAATATGGTTGGTATAGATATTAAACTATTGATTTAATTAAAAAAACACAATGGAATTAAATATGGTTGGTATAGATATTAAACTATTGATTTAATTAAAAAAAACACAATGGTTCAAACAGATCATAAATTGAATATATAATTTAAAATTTACAGCTATTGAAGATTCTTTATTTATTTATAAAACATACCAAGATCAATATGTATGAGATATATTATCTATACCTATATTTGCAAGTGTATGCAATCTTTGAAAGTATGATAAAATTAACTTACTAATATAGAAGATATTATATACCCTTAAGCCTTAACTTAATTACCATCGAAAAAAGGGAGGCGAGCAAGGAAAAAATCACACAGACTCTTATCATGCGTATGGATGGAAGCATGTATATGTGTTGGGCGGACTCGTACCGCCAGATTGATCTTAAGTTTTTTACTAAAGATAAATCTAATGGTATCTGATGGTAAAAAAAATATTAGGTCCATCAGATTAAATAAAACCAATGGTTAGATCTTCTCCTTTTTCCATAGATTTTCTAGGAATTAATTAGAGCGTTAGGTGTCATCTTTGCACTGTTTCTTGGAATCTCACGTGGCAGTTTAGGAGCTTTTTAGGATGTTTAATGGACTTTTATATAATAGATAGATATATCTACGTGGGTTTGTGAAATTTACTCCATAATATATATTTCCATTTTTAATATTTTGTTTTTATTTGGTTGCATTGCAAAGAAAAATAGTATATATTCAAAGTTAGGAAAGCGTTTTTCTTATATATAGATTTGATAGGTTCACCGGTTTAAACCATCTATATACCTAAATCTAATGGTTTTAATGTTTGTTTATATTTGGTTTTCATGCAAAGCACAATGTTCTATGGTAAAATTTAGGGAAGTGTTTCTTTTATATATAGATTAATGGGTTCACCGGTTTAAATAATCGTTAAAATATTTTTTTAGGGACAATGGTTAAAATAGTTGGTTCACCGATCGATTTAAGTGAAAAGCAAAGGTTAGATGTTTTATTATAATATTTTTTCATGTTAAAATTTTCATCTAGAAATAGGAAGAGAAGGATTGGAAGAGGGGAGAAAGCATGGCATTGTATTACGTACATACATACGTACTGAGGAGAGAAGGGGTGGGTTGTGGGATATTTTTTTTATAAAGATAAATATAATAGTTGAAAATAGTGAGTCTAGCAATTTATTAAACAAATAGCGGATCCACCGATTTATTAGAACGCCACGTAGCGGTTTAGAAACGTTTTGTAGGATGCCACATGGTAATTTAGGAGCGTTCGTAGGAAGTTTAATGAACTTTTAGTATATAATAGAAGATTTTTCTTTCTAACTAATAAAGCGTAAAAAATATGAGAAGGAAGAGTTAATCTAGGAAGAGGGTGGTGTAATAATAATAATAATACATGAGGTATATTATTATTATTTTCATATATAGTAGGTAGTTGTATATATATGAGATATAAGTACGTACGCTGGGTGGGGTTAGGTTTGGGTGGTTAACTTTTTCTATAAGATAAATTTAATGGTTGTAAATAATGGGTCCATCAAATATAATGAAATCAACGGTTATATATTGGAGTGGCATGTGGCGGCTTAAGAGCGTTTCTAGGATGCCACGTGGCGACTTAGGAGTGTTCATAGAAAGTTTTATGGACTTTTAGTTAATATACAGATCTAATAACGACGTAAAATAATGTGTCCATCGATTCTAGTGAAAACCAATGGTTGGACGTTTCTCTAATTTAAGAGTGGCACACAACGGTTAGAAACATTTATATGATATTTAATGGATTTTAACGCGTTTGATGTCTATTTGTGGGGGTATTCTTTTCTATAAAGATAGGTTCAATTTTAATTAGGATTGGAAAAAGAAAAGAAAGGAACAAACGAAAAAAAAAGTACTAAACAGATGGAGCAGTACGTGCGTACTGCACAGAGGTGGTGGGGCCGGTGGGAGGTTTTTGGTTTTTAAAATAGATCTAACGATGTAAAATAATGGGTCCACCGATTTAAATGAAAATCGATGGTCAGATTTCTCTATTATATTAGAGTGCCACGTGGCAATATGAGAGCGTTTTGAGGGAGCCACGTGGCAGCTTGAGAGCGTTTATAGGGAGTTTAATGGATTTTTAGTATATAATAGATAGATAGATAGATAGATAGATGACTGTCCTCACACCACCCAACCACCCACCATTTGTATGGATAATATTTTTACTCCTCTACCAACTCTCCCACCCACGTACATCCTGCCCATCTTTGTATAAGTAATTTTTTTACTGATGCATGTCTATTTATATTAGTTGCTAGTGCTGATCCACAATTCCCAATTCTCTCTCTCATTCCTCATCCTAATTTTTCGGATCTAGCAATTCGCATCCACAGCAGCGGTGAGAGGAGCAACACCAGTGACATCGACGGTCTCCGGTGAGCAGGCAACGACGGCCGACGGAA